AGGGGTCGGGTGCAGTGTGTGGCGGGTGGTAGTCGAGGGCGGGGTCCTTGGCGGTCTGATCCTCGGCTACAAAAGCTGGCTCTTGGCACATAAAATGTCATCTCTCTGGTGGGGAAGGAGCCTGAGTTGCTGTGTGAGGCTGAGAGGTTCTGACTAGATTTAAATATGGATGGATGGTATTCTGCAACCTGCAGCTCTGGAGCCACATGTAGCTCAAGCTATTCCAATGTGGCCCTTTGTAGAATTTCCTGTTCTGACTTTTGCAGTGCCTGCATCAAATTTCAGCAGGATTTAAGACAAAAGTTTCCAATAATAATAATAATAATAATCATAATCTGCATTTTGCAAAAATGAAAAATAAAATTATACATCATTAGAAACTTTGACACTGATTTCAGCCATTTTCTTTAACTCTGCAAAATGTCTTTTCAGGAAATTGCATAGCATTTTTTAACTCTGCACTCTCTCCATCTTTTATTTAGTATTCACATATCAGCTTCATTCTTGAGTTTGTTTATATGATTAACAGCTTGGGTTCAACAGTCCGTCCTCGAGGCGGCAGTGAACTGTGCCCTCAGCAGTTCACTGGTTTACGCTCCCTGCAGCTGGGAGGGGTCCAGTGCAGTTGATCCCTCGATCATACTGCCTCCATTCTTCTGCTCTCTAGCCAGCAGGCTTTCGCGCCAGCAGGGCCTGGCTGAGATGAGATGCAGTCAGTCTGCAGGGAAAGCACCCGGGAGACTCGCAGATAATAAAAACAAACAAGTACATTCAAGCAGACGATCACATCTGGGAGGCTAAATGTTATGCTGGACTGATAAAAAAACACCACAAACCAAATGGAATAAAACCCATCCAGCGAATAGAAAGAAACACGACTAATGGTAACAAATAATAACTATTAAATCCTGTGCATGAGGAATTTTATTAGCTCATTTCAATTTTATGCCAACTAAAAACGACTGGTCTGCAGTTGCGTGTGTTGAAATAGTTTATTAGGACTATGTTTTGGTCAGCTGTGGTTTGATTACAGAGTAAACCAGTTCTAGTATCATCCCGCACTGGCCTTAAAGAAACTTGGCATCCTCCAAAGATGCTAGACCCATGCCCTATGTACTTTAGACCCAAATTTTAGGGTTGTATGGTACGAAGCCGCCAATACTTTTCAACAACCGAACATCGTTTTAATCATTTTGAACGCTTCGATTGATGTTTCTTGAGATTAAATGTAAAAACTACTGATTTTCTCTTTAAAAAATGCAGGAATATGTTAACTTGTAAATCAATAAACTTGGCTGTATTTTTGTACATAACCTTTCTAAAGGTTAACCAAACTTTCCTTTGGATGAATGTCCTGCAGTAGGTCTGTTATGTGCCCAGATGCAACATCTAGATGATCATCTTTAACATTTTACTAGTGTACTCTACCTTCTTCAGTGATATTGGATTCATACATTTACACATAAAGAATATCCTTGGCCATGTTGTCATTCGTCCTTCTGCCAGAAGAAGCTGCTTGTTTACAAATTCTGTTGCAACAATTTGGTGAAACCTTTGCAGTATTTACAACCTGGGCTAAAATGTCAGCAACATTCCTTCAGTTTGGTTTTGAAGTTGTTGGAAGCCTCTAATCTCGTTGCTCGTTAGCGGCGTTAGTGACTACAGTTGCTCAGTGCTGTCAGACGACTGAAATGATCCAAATCGCTGCTGTCACTCTTTCTGAAATCCTGGTTTAGCATCAGCATCAACCTTGGGTAGCTCGCTAATCAGAACATCTGCCACTGAATTTCATCAAGTTTTTTTTCTGTTGGAGGGCAGCAACTTGCACTCACTGAACAATTTATGAAAGTTTTCTGGACAAAGTATGTTTAATTCCAGCAGAAACACTAAAGTTTTCTGGCTGAGGTTGTACACAGGTTACACAACAATTATACAATATATCTTCTGACTAGTAATCTCAGTTGTCGGTTTGGTTTAATTAATTGTAATATTTAAAACAATCAGACCATTAGCAGCAGCTGTCTAATTATCATTACCTTATGGGAAAATATTGCCTTAATTTACAACCAGTTATCTCGATTTTCTCTGCAAAATAAAAAGCAAACAACTTCATTTTAATCACCAGTATAATGAATTTGGCATCTGCAAACATATCAGTTACCAGGACAATGGCGGGGTAAATATTTCACTTACGCCAATAACCCATCACTGCATATGAAATGGGAAAACAATAAATAGTAAATTGCCTGTATGGGGCCTTGTAGGGTTCTACAAACCCCCAAGGCGCTTCACAACACAACCAGTCATTCGCCCACGCACACACACATCGACTCACTGGTGGTGATGAGCTACATTGTAGCTACAGCTGCCCTGGGCTGCACAGAAGGAGGCAACGCTGCCGAGCACTGGCGCCACCGATCACCACCAGCAGGCTGTGTGTGTTAAGTGTCTTACCTAAAGACACACTGACTGCCACAGACGGGACTCGAACCTGCAACCATCCAGTCATGAGGCGGGCACATTAAGGGAAAAAATGGAACACGGACACAAAAGGGACATGTTTATGGATTTAGCAGACGCTTTGGTCCAAAGCGACTTACAAGTGATAATCGGCATGTTGCCCTTGAGGCTAAAAACAACAATAACAACAACAACAAGAACAACAAACAATTTCCAGTCAGTCGTAGGTGGCAGTGAGGCAGCCTGATGAATCATGGAGAGGAGGGAACAAGGAGTGGACAGCAGAGAGGGGGACGGGTGAAAGGAGGGTGCTAGTTTAGAAGATGTTCTCTGAAGAGCAGGGTCTTCAGGAGTTTCTTGAAAATTCAAAAGGAAGCCGCAGTTCTGGTAGTGCTTGGTAGGTCATTCCACATTTGTGGAACGATGCATGAGAAGAGTCTGGATTGTCCTGAGCGTGGTGTAGGCACTGCTAGCCGACGATCCTGTGATGACTGGAGCGGCCGGGCCGAGACGTAAGCCTTTGCAAGAGGATTCAGGTAGATGGGAGCCGTACCATCTCAGACTTTGTATGCTAGTGTTAGCTATTTGAATTTGATGCGTGCAGCTAGCGGTAGCCAGTGGAGCTCAATGACAGAGGGGTGACATGTGCTCTTTTTGGCTGATTGAAGACCAGACGCGCCACTGCGTTCTAGACCATTTGAAGAGGTCTCACAGTATAGGCTGGAAGACCAGTTAGAAGGGCATTGCAGTAATCGAGGCGAGAGATGACAGTAGATTGCACCAGGAGCTGGGTGGCATGTTGTGTTAGGTATGGTCTGATCTCTCGTATGTTATACAGCGCAAAGCGGCACGAACCAGCAACAGAGGCAACATGATCTTTAAAGGTCAGGTGTTCATTAATCACAACACCCGGATTTCAAACTGCCTTTGAAGGAGCCAGAGATCGGAAGTCATTTTGGATTGAGAAATTGTGCTGTATGGATGGTTTTGCTGGGATGACAAGTAATTCAGTTTTAGAGAGGTTGAGTTGGAGATGGTGGGATTTCATCCATTTTGATATGTCAGAGAGGCAGTTTGATATTTGTGCAGAGACAGTGTGGGCGATCGGTGGAAATGACAGATAGAGCTGGGTGTCGTCTGCATAGCAGTGGTAGGAGAAGCCATGTGATTGAATGATCTCACCCAGTGAGGTGGTGTATATGGCAAAGAGAAGAACTCCTAGTACAGAGCCCTGGGGAACTCCTGTGGAAAGGTGGTGCATGGCAGAGGATTGTCCAAGCCAAGATACACTGAATGAACGTCCTGTGAGGTACGATTCAAACCAGGCTTGTGCTTTCCCTGCGATGCCCATGCTAGAGAGTGTGGACAAAAGGAATCTATGGTTGACAGTGTCAAATGCAGCATGCATCTTGATATTCTTAACAAATAAATTAAATCAAAGATATTGGTCAATAATACCAAATATGTAAATTTGTGTTTCAGTCATTTTTATACTGGCTTAAAAATACTATATTAAGTCTACTAAGCAGGGGTGTGGAACATTTTTAATAGGGCCAGCCCAGTAATGATCTTCGACCAAAATACAGGGGGCAGAAAATCGAATAAAGGGGGGCAAAAGGAGATGTTTTTCCAGACGCCAAGAAAAATTAAACCCCCCCCCCCCCCCCCCCCCCGCAAAGTGTGTCACTGAGAATTTAAAACGAAAATTATTCTTGTGCAAATATTAGTGTATTCACCTTTAAAACTAGTTATTAAAATGCAGCAGTTGCTGGATTGGTGCTGATCAAAGTGGAGTGCTTCAAATAAAAAGAAAATTAACATAAAAGTGAGACGTGTCATAGTCCCGGAATGGGTACATCTAGAAGTCGTACAGAAACCGGACCGCCTCTGTTGTGCAGTCAGTGTGAAACGGGCTTTAGAGAGGATGGACTCAAACAAGCCCAAAACTACTGGGCCTGATCCTCACAGCATAAGAACAAAGTGAAATCACACAGTATCTGAGTCAACCAGTCACTACACAGTCATTGTACAGAAATGACAAGATTCTGCTACTCCTCAAAGCTTCTATTAAGATGACTCATTAATTTGCGTGGCTTTGCAAATGATTAAATTGGAATGAGTGAGGATGGTATTCTGCGTTGCCCTCCCCCATGTTTGAGAGGATTTGACCATGCGTGAAATTTTCATAAGCTTGTTTCTTTTTATGACCCAGCTTGTTATGCATTATTGTAGCATCCGATCGACTCAAGTTTTCAAATTTGTTGCCAGCTTTACACGGCGGTCAGATTAAAACTATCATAGCAGAAAACTTTAGTCACATGATAAAAGCAGATGGGATTCTGGTTTAAAACACACTTAATGGCAGAGCTTACAAGAGTTCTGTGTAGAAATGACATCTGGAACAATCTGAATGACCTTTGGCTCATTGGATGCTTTAATTCTAACGATAAACAACAGATGTTATATGTGGTGTGCTGCCCATATGCAAAAACCTGTCTGAAGTATTTGTGCTGTGCATGTGTGGTGTTTTTCTCCCGCAGATGTACATCCAAACAACCACGCTAACCATCTCCGTGAGCCTGAGCGCTTCGGTAATCCTCGGGCTGCTCTACATGCCTAAGGTCTACGTGATTCTTTTACACCCTGAGCAGAACGTGCCGAAGCGCACACGGAGCCTTAAGGCTGTGGTTACCGCCGCCACCATGTCCAACAAGTTCAACCCTAAAGCCGGACTCAGACCCAACGGAGAGGCCAAGACCGAACTGTGTGAAAGCCTCGAAACACAATGTAAGACCACGAATGCCGATTTGAAACATTTTCTTTGGCAGAATTTATGACATAGACTTTTTTATTCTGTGAGATTATGTTAGATTCTTTTTAACTTAAAATACACCAGAAAACTAAATTATCCATGTAAAATTAATCTGCAGAATTTAAATTTTATCAGCAAAAATTCTGCAACGAATGACGTGACCTCCGGGTTACCCAAGACCAAAGCGATCGCCACTTGATCGAGTCGACACCTCACAGGGTTCACACGATCAGAGAAGTTATTTTTATCCCCAAAGCGGTTTGAATGAAGGAAACTGGACTTTGGTTTCTTGAAAACATTTCGCTTCTCATTCGAGGAGCTTTGTCAAAATAAGGGAGGGTCAAACTAATAAACTGTAGCCATCCATTGTTGCTTAATAAGCAGAAACTACCCATGAATACCCCTCCTTCCTACCCCCGATGAGTCGTTAGGCTCTATTGTGTGGGAGTTGTGTTGATTAGATGTAGGAGGGTGTGACCTAGATTGAAACTGTTTGGGGATCGGCTTCAGAGCTGCATTATAGGTGCTGGAAAGGTGAAACCCGAAGCCTCCTCCTCTATTTAAGGTAGGTTTTTCCCATTTGACACAAATGGCTTCCTTTACTCCTCTCTCAAACCATCCTTCTTCTCTGTCCAGATCTTCAAAAGCGGGTCCCTTGTCCTACAGGTGTAGAACTGCAGAGTCTTGACCTGAGGAGGTGGCTCTCCTGTGTGGTGCCATGTGTTTGTGCAATTGTTGTTTAGTTTCCCCTAAAGGTCTGGACAGTCCTCACTAATATAGACAGAGCTCACTAATTTGATCTCAACGAGTGACGATTACTTTGGTCCTGGGTCACCAGAAGGTCTCCTTAGTTGTTACCTTTTTGCTGGTGATGTAGAATTTTTGTGGATGAAGTTATTACTGGTGTATTTTCAGTTAAAATAAAAATATGTGTTCTGATGAGACAATTTCTTCCATACCTTAAGACTAAAAACCTACAGGCTTTTTTTTTTTTTGCTTTGCTTTATTCTTCTTCTGGGAAATCAAACCAACTCATGTTATCATTTGACGCAGAGCAAAAATGATTTCTCATTAACAGACGTGTAGCACATTATTTACCACCTCACTGAATTCAGTAAACGAGCCTACTGATATTCATTTAATTAGCAGGCTGATGGGTTTTGTTTTCGAGTATTGGAGGTTGCATGTAAATGTATGGTTTGTTTGTTTTGTATTTTTTCATATTTCATGTCAGAACTAAATCTTTTTTTCTCAAAGCCATTTTTATAACTTTTACACTGAACACACCTTGTGCTTCTCTGTGTTCACACTGCTCATAACTTATGCTTCTATAATTAATCATTCCATTAACTGACAGCCTTTTAGGCGTTAGATTAGATTGTGTGTGTGTGTGTGTGCGTGCGTGCGTGTGTGTGTGTGTGTGTGTGTGTGTGTGTGAGTAAGATAACAGTTAAGTTTGAGATTACCCAGACTCCGAAAGAATCACTCATTAGGGAGACATTTTAGGCCAGTTTGATTCCTGTCTAATCTAATATTAATTCAATGCAAACAAGGCAGACGAGAATCTCTCGAGCCTTGAGTCATTTTAGTGTCTCTAAGTGAAAACAGAGTTGGTCTTCACGTTCCTCTAGGATCAGATGGATGATGTTCACAAGGGAATAAATACCTTAAGAGGCGCTGCCATGTGTACTTTTGAATTCACACACTGCTCACATGCACATTATCAAGAATTACTCAGAGCGGCACATAATAAAGAAATGGACATGCAATGGCAAAAATGTGAAGCAACATAAACAACATCCTGAAAAAAGTAAATAGCTGAGGTGTTTTACTGTTATTAAGCAAGAAAGTTTTCATGGATTTACATGCAGAGGGTGGAATTTAATTAGAATCATATACTGCAACCAGCCACTGGGGGGAGCTTTGGTCCCTTTTATCTTCCCTTTCCACGTTATCCCTCCACCAACACAGCCTTGAGTTAGGCTTGTTGGGAAGGACCGTCCCACCTAACAGCGTTGCGTAATGTCAGCAAAACGTAGAACACAGCAAATAGCCGCTGTTATACTAGATGGGTGCATTTACCCCGGCTGCAAAGCGTCCCCAGAAGCGTTGAACTCTTTCCCTACTGTTTCGCATCTGAAACGATCCCGGTGGGAAGGGAGCTTGTGGTTAAAACACGAGTATTTTGTTACGAGCCACTTAGAGAATTTAAATTACAGACAAAAATAACATCTTACTTAAAGTCTGTAACTGTTAAAACAATAATGATAATAATACATCAGACTTGTATAGAGATTTTTAGGTCACTCAAAGACGCTTCACAGAAATGCAATTAACACATAGCAAAACAAAATTAAACATATTAGACTGAGGGATGCTGGGTTGATCTTAAGGGAAGGCCAATTTAAAGAGGCCAATTTTTAAGCAGTAACTTGAAAGTAGAAAGAGAGACGGCATTCCTGATGCTTAGTAGGAGAGAGTTCCAAAGTGTGGGGGCAGCGGCTGCAAAGGCTCGATCCCCCATGGAGCAAGTAAAGATTTCATAAAATATGTGTTAGGTACTTAAATGTTCCTTTAACCTAGGACCAGCCCGGACAGGACTTTGTAGTGACTTCCTGTTTGAGCGAGACACTTCAGGAAGCTTGCTGATATCCAGAAGGTTTTAGTCCCTGGTTGTTGCCTGCCAGCAGCTGCTCTCATCTTCCCCTGATCTACCTTCTAAGCAGGGCAAAGTTTATCTGGTACAAGCTGCATTTTCTACCTAGAAGCAACGACCTCTTGAACTGGTTGCTTTGCAATGACTCCCATCCAGATGTACTTGGCATCAAACGATACAGCACTAGCAGCAATACAGAAAAATTACCATTAAATATCATGATAAATAGCATACAACTGTTTGTATGTTAGCAGCGTAGTGTTGTACAACATTCTTCAATATGCAAAACTTTAACAACTGTTTCTAAATGACACAAAAACAAACCCAGCTCCATGTACTCCTAATCCTCTTCTACGCCCTCTGGAATAACTCTGATGAGGAGGCCATGTATTATAAACTACAAATGAAACAAAAACCAACTTCGATACCATACAACAGTTTGTATTTTAATACTGTGGTGTTTCACAAACTAAACTCCTTTTCCTCTCCTTTCCCCTCTGGACAAACTATGTGATGGTGGGTCTTTGTAGTTTTATGAACTGCAAATTCCACTGAAGCAAACATCTTTGCTGTGAACTAAATTTACTCTGTATCTTTATTCTTTTTCAAACTGTTTCTTTTTCCTACTTGGAAGTTGAAATTCCCAAGGAGAAAGCGAACGCACCATTAGCTAAGTAGACAAAAACTAAACTATCAAACTAACGTTCATTTTGCTGCTGGAGCAGATTAAGATGCCTCATACTCACATCTTGCTCTTGAAAAGAACTTTTTATTTGAATGTGTCATGTTAAGCTCTGTTAAATATTTCCAGGAGATTGTTCACATATTTTATACAATAAAACAAAATCAGAGATTAGAAATTAAAATTGAGTTTCTCTCTAAGAAGTCCTTGTTTCAGTCAGCTGGATCCTTCGGCATGTCGCGCGTCTCCCTCCCTCCTCTAAAAGCTTTTGGCCCCACTGTATCAGTGACAAACTCTGGATTTATACAAGTGAAGTAAATAAAGACTCAGCTAAAATGACCTATTTGCTGCCCAAAATGGTTTTCTTCAACTTGCCTTGGACAGGAAAAGGTCTGTCAGCAGAGATCCATTCACTCCGTCAGGTCCGAATTTAGAGGAAATCCAGCCTTTTGTTGTGCATCTTAAAGCTGCAGATTTGTTTATACTTTTAATACCAGCAGTGGAAGTATTTTATTTCAGACAAATAAAAGAGCTGACATTGTATTTGCTGCTGACACAAAAAGATAAATCAATTTGAGAAAAACAGAAAAGTATGACAATTCACTGCAGCAACAACAGCAGGGAACTGTGAGGCCTGCCATCCTACAATAGCCACATGCAAACACAAACAGCAATAATTTTATTCAAGATTTAGGTTTCTGCGGTGGGTTAATTGGGTCTTTTGTATAAGGAGAAGCAGCGTGGGGACCCAAAAATCCCAGTATTAGTAGCAAGCTGCTGTCTATCCTGATGGGGTTTTGGTTTTCTGGAGCTGTACAGTGCAAGGCTATTTCAAAACAAACCATTTGTCATTGTCATCGCTGGTGTGGATGGAATGGGGAAAAAAATCCTGTCTGGGGCAGCTCCATAAACAGCCACGATCTGGTTGCAATATGTCAAGATTTATCTGCTCCACCTCGGCGAATCAGCTAACACGGTCTGGGGAGACAACTGGAGGGTTGACTCCTGACAGCTGCAGGAAAAGGAGGCGGTGAGGTCGCTGCTGGTAATGCAGGTTTACACCAAGGTGAAGAAGTAAATACTGGCACAATAGGAGCTATCGCCATGTGTTAATGCAACACAGCAGCAAGGGAACTAAGCACCGTTTGACATTTCATCTTTTATTTGTTCTACCAGAAAAACACAGCACAACAAAAACACAACAAACAGCTAAATGTTTTTTTCCTTCAACTTGCCTCCACACGAGTCTAAATTCCTACACTTATTTCTTCTCTTCCAGCCTTCTCCACAAAGCAAACCTACATCAGCTACAGCAACCATGCAATCTAAGGGACCAAGGTTCTTATCGCAATTCAGGATTTCCACCCCAGGAGTGGGAGGGAAGGAAAAATAAATAAAACGTGCAGTGGAATTTCACACAGTTGGAAAAAAAAGGAGATTTGTCGTTGTGCGGGTGGAGATCACAGAAGCATCGCCCAAAGACGTGACATGCTGAGGAGAAACCACAAAGGAAGGCAGAGACGGACGAAAGAGACGACCTGAACAGAAAACTGTACCATTTTAAAGATTTCATCTTCTGTCAAACAGCAACACACACACACACACACACACACACACACACACACACACACACACACACACACACACACACACACACACACACACACTGGAGGATGGAGCTTTCCTTTGGAGTGTTTACGTTTCTGCATCGCCGTCTTTACAAGAACCTCAGAGATCTCGAGCAGCTCTGCCTGGAACTGAAACCAAATCAAAAATATGTTCAGGCCTTTTTAATGTTATCTCAAAACACTTAAAAGGCCCCGCGGGAATTGTTGAATGGAAAAAAAGGCATGAAAATACGGATTTCTAGCAGGAGCTTGTGTTCGTTTTTATTTTCAATGCATTCCGGTCTCACGAGTCAGCCGACTGAAAAAGGTGATCATCCCAACAATGCAGCAGATGCGGACCTGACCACACGCTTCCCGTCCTCCGCCAGGTTCTCTCTGAGTATCAAACGACCAAACTTACAGAACAGGATCTTTGCCAATTTTCAGCATGCCAGTTTCAACATCCTGTGTTGTGTTGTTTAAAAAATATAATAAAAAAGGAAAAAATATTATCTTTGGAATGCGTTTAAAATCTGTTGCAGCGTCGTTAACAATTGTTTAGGCACGAGCCTACTGTTCGTTGAAAAAAATCTGTTTTTTTTATTGGTGAAGGTCTAGTGAGTGATTGTTTCTCTGTGCTTAGGTGAGATCATGATTTTGTACCAACAGCTAGCCGACGGCTGCCACTGCCCTCCTCATACCTGTCTGTGCTCTGAAACAGCAGCTCATGGTTAAACAGCGTTTAGCCAGGAGATCTCACGGTGAGCTGTCATCCAGGATGACCCTCTCATCACTGCCATCAGCTACTCTCTTGGTCATGCGAGCAAAGTGTAAGGTCGAAGCTTAGCCGTACAGATCCATTAGCATGGGAATTAAGATGAAGGATGCCCTTGGGAGGATGGTGCAGCTCGTCCTGGAGCGATATCCGTAACGGCCTGGCCTCCTCTACAGGCACTCTCTTGATAAGGAAGCATAAGGAAGCTGTAAAGCTTTTCAACAAATGAACATCTAATTGCAAAAATACTATATCTCTATCAATCACCCTGAGCTTGCTGAACAGCTTAATGTTTGGCTTCCTGCAGTATAAAAGCGCTCTGACGTCTCGGGGAGAAAGACGCGCTGTGGGGTCATCTGTGTTGTGAATTCAGTGCCGCTTTTCCCGCCTCCCTGTCTTAATTTCAACACCATTTGTGTTGCAGAATAAAATGTGAGTGCTGACCAAATTAAATGGCAAGTTAATGTATGTTATTAAATAGAGTGATGATGTCTGCTTTATGTCCCGACATATCCTAAAATCGAGGAAAATGTTCAAAAAGATACAGTGCCTGGCTATCTGAATACGTATTTGTAAAACCTCATGACAACTAATGAAATGTGTGAAGCATGTTTAATTTTTTATACAAAATTTATTATTTCTATTAAAAAAGTTTCCAAACTTGCTCGCCCACTCTCATGCTCTTTTGTTAATCAGGAAGTTCTGCAGGTTATTTGATTTTACTTTCTTTTTTTTTAAGGACATCAAGGAAAATTCATCTTAAAGTTACTTATTTGATGAGGATGTTGTTCTGAATGTGATTTGATTGTAAAATTGTTTGTACAATGTACTGTTTGTACACACACACACACACACACACACACACACACACACACACACACACACACACACACACACACACACACACACACACACACACTCTTAAACACCACAAATTGTTTCCGTCTCAAAGAAAAGGAAAACAATGGCTGCCAGTTCTCTGAATAGTGTGTCACCATAATTGCTCTGATAATAGCAGAAGAACCGAGACGGTGGAAGGAAACATGAAATTGTTTTAAAACACAGCTGACTCATTTTTTTTAATCTAAGACCAATATGAGTGCAGCCACCACTATTTCCACTCCCTCCCTGTACGATGAGCCCATCATGCAAAAGGCTTGTAAATAACTTTTGCTACATAGCTCAGGTGCCCAAAGTGCATCTTTATAGCAATATACACGAGGGAGTGTTTATCATCTTTCCACTGCACAGCAAAGAAGCCGCTGAGGTTTGGATTGTGAGATAGAAAAGCTTTGTGTCACAAAGTACCAAGATTACTTCTGGTTTCCAATAATATTCATCATCCGGCTTGAGCTAAAAAAAACAACATGTCTGCACATGTGGAGGGTATTTCAGCTTTCAACTGATTATTTATCAAAACCACTTCACTGATGATTTTGATACTCTGGGACTCAAAGCAACACTTAATAGGTTTCCAGTTTCAACCCCCTTCTGGTTGAAAGCAGAATTACAACTGTCATAAACAATCCTGTTGTTGCTAAGGAGCAAGTGAGTCAACTGATCCTAAATAAGTAATGAGGCAACAGACCCAAACTGGTGGACAAAAAATATTATACTTACAAGTCCAGCAACAACAACGCCAGGTCACCATCAGTTTGTGATTGTGTAGCCTCATTTAGCTCCTTTATGAGTGTACTTGTACATTTTGTGCAAACACCTAGTTCGGTCCTCTTTCACCTCACTCACACTAGTGTTCCTAACCAAACCACAAAACTCTTAAGTTAAGTTTCTGGTCAGCTAGAGGCTACAGAATGTCGTCCAATGTGAAGTTGGAAAAGAAGTTCAGGAAGGCTTTATGAATATCCAGCAATCCATTCTCTTCTGCTTATCCCGGGTCAGGTCACGGGGGCAGATCCCTAAGCAGGAAAGCCCAGACTTCCCTCTCACCAGCTCCTCTGAGGAAATCCCAAGGCGCTCCCAAGTGAGCCGAGAGACATCCCTCTGGCGTGTCCTGGATCTTCCTTTAGGCCTCTTCTTGGTTGGACGTGGCTAGAAAACCTCACCAAGGAGTCATCCAGGAGGCATCATAACCAGATATCTGAGCACCTCCACTGGGTCCTCTCACTTTATAAATAAACAATTTAAATTCAAGTTTCTGCCCCAGGAATCACTGAAACCTGTTTGAAAGAAATACCATGTTAAATTTCTTTGGTGTACTTCCTGTCAGCTTCCAAGTTAAAGTTAAGTTAAAGTTAAATCCTCTTTGTGTTATTGCTAATGAGCACAACTTGTTTTTCAGGGTGTTTCACTTATCTCTATCCTCCCCAGAACCCAGTTTTATCCTAAACCTACAGAATAAGTTGGACCCAGAATCTGCCCCACCCACAGATGCTGCCAGCATCTCAGATCCCACAGGTACGACAGTGAGATTAATCAACCTGAAAATCCAGTGAAACACTAAAAGGATTCTACAGTCGAACCCAATGAAGCTCAACAAATGCAGCATCTGTGCACATAAACCTACAACTTACAACTGTTTAATGCACACAGAAATCTTCCACAAACTGATATAAATCAAAGCAAAAAATGATTTGCTGGTGTTTTGTTATCCTTTGGGCCACTGTTTGTTAATGATCATTATCGATGGCAGAAAGAAATCACAAAAATGAATAAGCTGACCAACAAAAACAATGAAGACCATGTGCTTAGATCAATCCTTAGAAAGTCTGACCTGTTTTTTATTTTTAAGGGATCTATCATCTTCTAGAAAACACATGTGATGATAAATCAACAAAAACTGTAATTTCTCAGGTTTTTAAGAAAAAATTACCTGTGAGAAGATTTGTTGAGCTGACAGGAATTGAAAATTTGCCAGCTTATCTGTGACTTGAGTGTCTAAAAAACGTGAGGAGTTCTCAGCTGACTGGGCTTTTTCTCCAACAGCTGGCCCTTCTGTGCTTCAACGAGCCTGAAAGCTAGTGATTTTCAAACACATAGGACAACTTGTGATGTTGTTCAGCAGAGCACTGACACAACACTTCCGGGAAACACATTTGTTGGAGAGCTTGCAACAAAAGCAGACTGATCAACAGAAACAGAAACAGTCAGACTGAGGTTGAGAGGTTTATTCAACAGGCCTCCAACTACAGCAAACATGACAAAATCAAGAATGCTTTCTAGATATTATTGTAGTGTTGATCACAGAAAACACAACAGCTGTTCAAATAAAATAAACTCAATTCACACTAAAGTTATCAATCAAAACAGAGGTGAACTTTGGTGGAACAGTTCTTGCATCAAAGTCTCTAAATATGTAAATGCCAACATGAGAAACCTCTTGAAAAGCAATTTCATTTAGTTTCTATCATCAAAAACCCAATTAATTAAACTAATAGTTTAAACTGGGTCTAGTGGAGGCTGGAGTGCTGATGCTGAGGCGGTCCTTGTGCAAGCTCGAGCAGCCCGAACTCAATGAAATGTTTATCCACCAGCTCAGACCTTTCTCATAAGCACCTGAACAATACAAGAGCCCTCAGGTGACAGAATGAACACAGGAGTGTATTTGCCTGGAATTGAGCACCAATTTACTGCAGGATTGAGAGAAGCACTGCAGTGATGTTTTCACTCTGGGCTCCCACGAGTGGGTTCTCTCAGCTGTGCACTGATGCCATTGTATACCATCACAAACAGTCTCAACACTGACAGTGGTGGGCTCGCTGTAAAAAGCTCAAGGCTGTGTTACTGGCGGAGACTCGAGCAATTCACTCCGGACTGCAACAAAGGCGAACAGGAACGAGTGACTTGAAAATGTCGGTGTAATAAAGAACTAGCAGAAAACAAACTTATCTGAAAAATCTGTGAAGCATTTTGCTGACATTTCATTCATTGTTTGTCTTAGCGATGACTGATCCCACACTAGATGTGCTACTGTAGCCTATATATGGTGCATACACTATGTTGCTAGGTAACAGTGCTTCATGAATATCCTGCTGTTATTGCACAGTCAACGTGGTGCCTTTCTGACAGTTCAGTAAGTGTGAAAGCAAAATGTTGCACACATGCATTTTTCTGTATAGGTTTGTGAATGCAACATTGTGATCCATCCATCCATCCATCCATCCATCCATTCATCCATTCATCCATTCATCCATCCATCCATCCATCCATCCATCCCAGTTAAGTATTACAGCTATGCATCTCAAATGTCTAGCAGGCACTTTTATTTATAATACATATATAATTAATGTGAAATAATCAAATATCCATCTAGAGGTGTCTCATGTCCTATCATCTATATTACCGGTAATTATTTCTTGTCCAGAGGAAAAAAATCTAACATGTTAACCTAAATTCATGATGTATTTGTATCCTCTGCTCAGAAGATCTCACTATTTTGGCCTCACTGCTCTCTGTAGCTGTTTCCTGATTATCCCTACACAGACGGGTTAAACAAAACTCCAGTTGCTATCCACGATAAAAAGGCTTGCTAAAACATGAATGGACGTCCCAAATTACAAAAGCCACGAAGCCAAACTCAAAGTTTAGAGCATTTAGAGGACTAGAACATTGACCCAGAGGTTTCCTGGTCAAGCAGTTGCATGAGAATACTTGTGAGGACCACTTGGAGATGGAGCAATGGACAGTTCAGAATTGATTAGGTTCCCATCTAAATGCACTGACTATTAGATTATTTTCCTCAGCTCTACCAAGCACTCCAGCTAAACAAACCAACACGCTTCCTAAAACTTGCTCTGATCAGTTTATTTGTGTGTCTGTCATGTCGACAGCTATGGCCGACAGAAGCAAATGTGTGCCTATAGACGCGTCCAGAATTAATGCCACAGATGGATGATAGAACGCAAGTAGATGGTTCAACAATCTTGTCAGGACGTGCCAGTGAGTGGAGCGGAGGTGAGGATCCAAATGCTGGGAAGGAAGCAGGCAGGCAGACAAACTAGAAAACGTAAAAGGTTTCAATGATCTCTGGACGCAGGGCATGGAAACAATGAGGCAACAAGAGACACAGAACTGGAGGGGTTTAAATACAAGAGGGCTGGGAGCTTGGGTGATTGGGAAACGAGAGGCAGGTGGGAGCAATCAACAGAGATGCCGGATGAACCAAATGGGGAGACAAGACAGGGTGTGACAGCCCCCCCCCCCCCCCCCCCCCCCCAAAAGGGCAGATTCCAGATGCCCATAGGAACACAGAGCAGGGTGGGAGGAGGGGGATCCGGAGGGAGGGCCAAGAGGGACCGAGGGGCCAATGGAGAGGAGGCAAGGACCAGTAGAGTCCGGGGGCCTGTGTCTGGGGCAGAGGAGGAGATGACGACGAGCTCTCGGGGGCCTGCGTCTGGGGCAGAGGAGGAGACGAGGATGGGCTCCTGGGGGCCCGCTCCTGATGAGGGCAGGACTGGCGGTGATCAGAAGCAGAGACGTCGGAGGAGACGTCCTTGGGGCAGCAGAAGCTAAACAGGTTGAGCGGGTTGTCCAGTAATCGGAAGGTTGCAGGTTCGATCCCGGCTCCGGACAGAGAATTCTGCTGTTGTGTCCTTGGGCAAGACACTTAACCCACCTTGCCTGCTGGTGGTGATCGGAGGGACCGGTGGCGCCTGTACTCGGCAGCCTCACCTCTGTCAGTGCGCCCCAGGGCAGCTGTGGCTACAT